TTATACTATTAGGTAATTTATTGAGGAAGGATTCCCAGCCCATTGCATCAACCAGCGTTTACTTTGGCATGGTGTAATGCAGGGGTATGCCATTCATTTTCTCGAGGGGCCAATTGGAAAAAATTGGCACTGTTGTGGAGGGCCGAAGCAATTAACACGCGCTACAGCGTAATGCACCAACCATACATTAGAGTGTAGCAGGTGCGTTGCATTGACACACCATCTTGCATTGGCACCCGAAATGCGATCGACCGCACCAATACCGTGCATTGCGATGCATTTATAAAAAAAGTAGTGCACACAACACGGTGAACCTGCAGCTCTGTAAGGCCCCATTCACACCAGGGCGTAGCAGGAACGTATATGTTCCCGCTCGTTTGCAGGACTTTGTTTACAGCGTTTGGCACCCCATTGCACATACAGAATGCATGTCGCCAACCGCAGAAAATAAAAAATATCGCAAATTTGACAACATGCGTTCTGCTTTTTTTATGTGTTCTCACATGCGTGAATGCACAGGGAAAAAACATGTTTGCTTGGCTGCGTTTTGAGTGCCATTACCTAGTAGTGACAATGCAAGTGCATTCTACAGTTGTCCACGTATGACCTGGTGTGAACGGGGCCTTACACACAGTAGGTGTGTTGTGCAGTACTATGCTTTGATTGCACAGCACGGTATAGGTTTGAACAGGCCCTAATTGAAGCATTATTGTCCCCACATCATTTTCTTTACTGGCCACAGGCGGGAGCCAGGAGATGGAGCTGTAGGAGGAGGACAGAGGAGGAGCTGGGGATGGAAAACATTTGCCACTGGTTGTTAGAATAGCAACCATGGACTGCAAAGGAGGAGGGCCCTGATGTCATTGGTTGCTAGGACCGCCCACGGTCCTCACAACCAATGGCTGCAGAGGAGGATGACCCCTGATGTCATTGGTTGCTAGGACCACCCATGGGTCCTAGCAACCAATGACTGCAGGGGATGAGGACCCCTGATGCCATTGGTTGCTAGGACCGCCCAGTGGTCCTCACAACCAATGACTGCAGAGGAGGAGGACCCCTGACATCATTGGTTGCTAGGATGCCAGCAGTCCTAGCAACCAATGACAGAAGAGGAACATGGTCCCGACACGGACCAATTGCTGACCTGTACTGGGATATGGCTTGCAGTGAATGCACCAGCCTTGGAGGCTGGCATATCCACTGTCAGCCAGCCATGAACAGGCACAGGTCGGCATTCGTTTTTTGTCTGGACTACGGACTGGACAGAGACAAAGGGCCGGATAGAGCCCATGAGCTGTAAAAATGCCCAGGTTTGATGTAATGGAAAATGATGTCCTCAACAATATACAACATCAAGAATTATGCATTTTGTAGCATGCCTGGATGCAGAGTCAGAGATGACGGAATGGTAAGGGTGTAATATGGATGGGGGACCCCCAAGCAAAAACACAAAAAAAAGTGGGATTCTCCCATTCACAACAGAGTTCCCTTAACATCACAGGTCCCCTTTGACATCAGGAGCCTTCTTCACATCAGGGGTATGACTTTGTGTGAAAATGTCGAGGCACCCCTGAGGAAGCCAGAAGGCACACCAGGGTGCCACGACACCCTGGTTGAGATAGGCTGGTCTACTGCATGTTTCCTGCAGTGACATTCTGTGATGGATGACTGAGGATTGTCAGAGGGATGAGGAGGCAACCCTTGATACCAATCTTTAAACAAATTTTTTTTGTATCTATCATTCAAAATCTTACAATTTTTTTTTGTACCTATCATTCCTCCGTCTTTATTAACAGTGCAGTTGACAATGGGACATTCTTAGCCAGAAAAGGATTAGACAGAAAAGGCAACACCAGCAGGGGAAGATGATGACGATCTAACTCGGAATTTGGACTGGCAGCCAAATCTATGAAGTTGAGGATGAAGAAGAAGGGCTTGCCATTGTTGCTCGCTCTCCTTCTCCCAAAGAATATTGTTATGACCCAGGGAATGCTCTGTGAGAGCAAAGGCTCTATAAATAATGGCTGTGGCTTAGATTTTGCCTACTACACAGAAATTGATATGCCATCTGGCAATGTTGAGAAAAACCGCTAGGTCAGAGATTCCTGCACAATGCCTTTACCAATCTTGCAGAGCTGCCCATTAAAGATAAAGCTTCACCTCCAAATCATTTCTGTTTCATGTTGGTGCATCTCATCTTCTAAACAGCACCCCCACCTCTGATGATGTCTCCTTATCACCCTGTCTACAAAATTATGGTTAAGAGTCGGATTTTTCTTAGTAATATTACTAGGGACACTAGAGCAGCTTGCCTGTTCTTACCTGCTAATGGACGGAGTGACCATCATCAGCATTAATGTCAACTGTTCAGATTGCAGTTCTTTCTTCATTGTCCTTATATTTCTCTTCTCAAATCAAATTAATCAGAACATAGCAGATACTTTCATTTACCTTCTTGTCCTACTACTAAACCATAACTTCCTAAGATTTGCAGCAATCCTTTGAGCTGCTACCATCAGGGATGATTTTGCTTACAAGAAAAGCAAGAATAGCAATGAGCCGGAGAATACTTAGATCAAGGTGAACTTGCACAGAGAGGGAGGCATCTTAAGAGAGCATGAAGATAACTGAGTGGTACCCTGTCTCCGAGTCACATTCCCAGATTTATAACTCGACCATAACTGCAAAGACAAGCAGTTTGGCATAGATGATTATCCCCAGATGCATCGTATAATGTTCCGGTTACATACAGACTGCAACTGGCAGATGCGGCCGCCGTAATCCAGACATTAACTTCAATGGTACAACAGCTGCATGTGAACGTGGACACTTGGGATTTCTGCTGCAGGAATCTGTTGGTTCTTGTCACAGGCATCCCGGAAAGCAGCTTAAGTCCCTGAGTGAATGGGGCCATAGTTTTCAGATCAATCCCCGTGTCCTCCTGGAGGCCCTTGGATCCTAGACCTAAGCTGTACACAGGACCTTGTCTCTCTCTAAGTCAGGATTTAATTGCTTTCCAGTTGGGAAATAAGCCACTGCACGCGTCATTCGAATGTCAAATGCCAGAACTGCATTGGGCAGTAGAGGTCCTGCGATCAGCCTGGGCCTAGGACCTCAAAGGGCCTTCACAAGCACACAGGGAACAAATACAAGACTTACAACGATACCATAGGCTACCTACACCTAACTTTCCCACTTTCACTGGAAAAAACCCCCCAAAATGGCTGCAGATGTAAAGTGCAAGCACATATTTGCTCTGTTCTAACAGGTTAAGCTCGGACACTTCCAGATATTGTCAGAGCTTGCTACTCTCCCATTCACAATGATAGGCAGCCTCAATAATCAGTACAAATGTGCAAAACGCAGGAAGGAGAGGACCAGTTGTAGCACTGTCATCAAGTGCTAGAGTTTTGACTGTGTAGCCATCTAAAGATGTCTGCACTTTATTATTTTTTTCAACGACAGAGTTTCTTTAAGCACTTAGCACTTCTGCCTTGCAGCACTGGGGGTCCACAGTTCAAATCCCAGTCAGGACACCATCTGCAAGGAGTTTGCATGTTCTCCCTGTGCTTGCGTGCGTTTTTTCCGGGTACTCTGATTTCCTCCTAAACTCCAGAGACATGCTGGAAGGTCAATTGGCTCCTGTCTAAATCGGCCCTGTATGTGAGATGGGGACCTTAGATTGTAAGCTCCTTGAGGGTAGGGACTGATGTGAATGTGCACTATGTAAAGTGCTGTGTAAAATGTCGGCGCTATATAAATACCTGTAATAATAAAAAATACGGTTACCTTAGGCTCTTTTTAGGCCGGGTCAAGTTCATTATAATAATTTTTACATGAATTAGTGTATTTTTTAAGTTTACATGCTCAAAGATCTGAAGCCAAAGCTTTTTTCGGTTATCAGTGTCTCATAAGGGAATATTTGCCTTCACTTTCTGTCTGATAGCCAAAACAGGAAATGAGAGGAAATTCTTTCAAAGTGAGGGAAATCCCTGGTGGTCCACAGGGTCACCAAAACTAGTGTCCCCATTAGAAGATTTCCCATCTGTTCTAGTGAGGACCCAGAACTTGGGATTTTCTTTCACTTTCAGTGATAATGGTCACCAGGACAAATAGAGAGGGTGAATCTCCCTAACGGGGGCACAGACAGAAATAGAAACCTTAGAAACCTGACAGGGCATGTAATCCCCTCTATCCAAAACGAAAACAATGTTTTGGCCTTAGATGCACTTTAAAAGCACACACACGCCTCGGCATGCAGACGCTTCTACAAACATTTGTGAAAGAATGGGTCGCTCTCAGGAGCTCAGTGAATTCAAGGATTCCACCTGAGCAATAAGTGCATCCATGAAATTTCCTTGCTACTAAATATTCCACGGTCACCTGTTAGTGAAAGCGTGTAAAGACAGGCGTCCCAATACTTTTGGCAATATAGTGTATATAATTATTATTGTGCATTCATTTGCTACAAGATGCTCCCTGAGAGTCCAGCACTGGTTGTTTACCTTCTCTCTCTGTTCCACTGAAATTCTAAACAAGGCCCTATGTACAGAGATGGAGAGGGCTATGTCCCTCCCCTGAGGAACCCTATGAATGATCAGCTGTGTATAGTAAGAATTTCCATCATTGAGGTCTGTACATAGTTAGCGTGGTAAAAATAAAAAAGGCAACGGAATTCTAGAGCTCCACCTCTTGTTTGCATATGATGAACATGAAACAGTTTTATGCAAAATTTTATATTTACCTAACTAAAAATATAAAATATATTTTTAAGCCGTATTTTTTTTAAACATACTAAATAAATGACACATGAAGACACTATACATTACCTTAGGGCCTGATGATATGCTATATACCAGAAAGGAAGCACTTTAACACTGTGGTTTTTACCGTGCTGAGATGGGAAGCATCGTCAGTAGCGGGCGGCAATATTCTACGTGTAGATCTTTATGTGAGCAATGAAGTGTACCTGGCTGACCTCTGCTCCTGTCCTTTCTTAGCTCCGGTTTGATGTAGTGCCCAAGACTGCAGGTAGGGCACTTATTCAGGTCACGGTGATATGAATACATTTCTCTTTGTGTGTGACTAACGCAATCAGTCTAGGTGGCCGCAGGATTCAAGCAATGTTAAATGTTCTAACTATCTACCACCATGGATCATATACAGTGTGGTGTAAATAAAGAGCATGCCAATACCATTCTTTTCAATTTACACTTAACATCTCAGAACTAACTCTTATCCAAACTGTAAGTATCTTTTGTATTAATAAAGGGTTAGTCTACTCAGGGCTCATTTTCAGTTTTGTATGGATGATGATGGTTTGGATCATCAACCCACTTTTGCAGATTTCTGCACATAGGTTCCCAACTATATCCACCCGCTATGCTCATTACGGAGAAAACAGTGTCCCTAGGGGAATCTTGCTTTGGGAGTCCACAAGTGATGTATATAAAGCTAATAAGTGACCTCACAGTGTCCCTACAAGACTAAGACATGAGCTTTGGGTGGACTAACCTCTAAAGTAACCTTGTGTTTACTGTGTCCTTATATTTCTCAGCTATTATGTGTCACCTATGTCATTTGCTTCATTGATTTTCAATTACACTATCATTTTTCACTTCTGTAGAGAACTTTCTGAAGCTGTGTACAGGGGAGGTCGGCTATGGCTACAAAGGATGCACTTTCCACCGTATCATCCCAAGCTTTATGTGCCAGGTCAGTCCATATTTAGTTTTTGTGAATACTTTAACATCCAACCAGGGCTGGTGCTGTCACGAGGCTAACTAGGCAGCCGCCTAGGGCGCAGCTCGATCACTCACCACCCCATGGCACCTCCCGTCTACTTCAAATTGCAAAAGCCAAAAGCAGGCTGCCTATTGCACCCACCCACTGAGCAGAGGAACAGAACTGAACGGCAACTATTTCTCTCAGGTCCGCTCCTATGCCGAGTGGGTGGGTTTTCAATAGCCAGTCTGCTGTCCTAGAAAACAACATTTCTAGGACGCACCTCTTAAATCCTGCTCTTCTCTCTATGCCATCGCTTTCCCTGACACTATTACCGGCTGTCAAAATGACAGCAGGGATTTTATTTGCATTACATAGAAGGAGGGGTTGTCAAAATGCAGGCGATCCTGTGTAAAATGATGCTTACAGATAAGTGTCATTGAGTAAATACTATGTAACAAATGTATTGTTTCATTGTATTTACTATTTCATTCATGTGTAGATCAAAAGTGTGATCTTTTATGTGCATATAACATTGGCTAAAGAAACCTTAGGCGTAAGAATTTATTATTTTAAACACTTAGAGGGGAATTTATCAAAACTGCAGCAGACAAAATCTAGAACAGCTGTGCATGGCAACCAATCAGCTTCTCTCTTCAGTTTGTTCAGTTAAGATTTGAAAATGATTTCATGTTCCTCTGTGCCCCTACCCCATCTCCTTTGCTCTACTCTCACTTTCTTCAGTCTGTCTGTAGTAATTGTCGCTTGTATACCGCCTTGGTCATCTCTGTTCATTTGGTTGCCTGCCTTCGGTACTGGCCTACCCCCAACAGCGGGGTGCTGATCATTGCTTAAACACGAAAGTGATCTTTACAATGCACCTTGCTCAGGGATTTCATAGGTGCCTATTCCACAAACGCCTAATATGCTGCAAGGCCGGACAGGTTATTTAAGTTATGAGACCGTGGTTTATGTGCTGTATGTACGTTCTTGTTTTTGTTAATGTATACAAATTACGTGTTTTATGTAAAAAATTCAATAAAAACGTTATTTCTGAAAAAAAAAGATTTGAAAATGAAAGATAGAAGCTGATTGGTTGCCATGCACAGCTGCTCCAGATCTTGTCTCCTCCAGTTTTAATAAATTCCCTCCAATGTATTCCAATTTAACTCCTTATTTACCCCTATATAAATGCTAATAACCCCCAGTTAACTCATTCCTACTTTTCTCCCCGTAGCTAATAGTTTTATGATTTTTCTTTCATTCATTTTGTTTATATTTTCAGTGTCTCATAAAAAGTGCACAAATTTCAAAATAAAATGCTTTTTTTTATTTGCATATACCAGTTATGTGATGCTTTATAGAAAGCCTAATCCCCCCCCCCCCCCAAAAAAAAACCCATAACTGTATGCATTACTTTGTAACAGCGTTATCACCGAATAAACAGGCCCATAGAGGAAATATAAAAAAATTAGTCTGCTCCATAAGGGTACGAGGCATGAGAGCTGAAGTGGTTAAGGAGGAATTCCAGGTAAAAAAGTATTTTTTTTTTTTTACTGCTTAGGCACAATTAAAGAAGAAAATTCCAGGCAGAAATGTTATTAACCCTTTAAGTGGGGCAACCCCCGCACTGCAAGGCTTAACTACTCATTTTTGCCCAGGGTCAAAGTTAAAAGTCAAAACTTATACTCACCCAATCCTTTTGGCCGGCTGTTAGACTGGCCCGTGAAGTCTCTCTCCCCCTCCGCTGGGAATCCTTGAGTCATTACGTCCAATACAGTGTATAAGACGTGAGGATGCTGAGGGACATGCCAACGCTGCAGTAGAGGAGGAGACAGGTTGGAGGGAGCGCTGCTGGCTGGTTTCAAAGTTCCGGTGATTATAACTTTTTTTTTTACCCTAGGCAAAAACGAGCAGTTAGCCCCAGAGCTCTTCTTCAACATTTAGAAATGTTCTCTATAACTAAGCAAATTTCCACTTTTTGAGTTCAGTTCCACTATAACACAATTTATTTCTACCTGTCAATCTCTTCCTTAACCATGTACAATTTGTACATGGTGAAAACTTTAAGCTGTCATGATATATCAACAAAGAAGCCAGGATTGTATTATCAAAGTTATCTATTACTTTCATCACAATGGCTGGGATTAGCCAATTGCAACCAGAAAAGTATCCCCTACATTCTTCCTAGAAATCTTTTACTTTTTTACCTTTTATCACACTACTAAGGAGGGTTTTTCACAAAAGGGTGAAGGGTTTGGAGAAGGAAGGAGAAGTGAACAATCTAGGCCAAAATAGCTGGTTGTTCACTTCTCCGGCCTTCTCCAAACTCTTCACCCTTTTGTGAATAACCCTGTAAATCTTTTCACATGCTTTCTCTTTTCCTTGGGCACTTGGATCTTTATTAGGGATGAGCAAATCAATTTGAAAATAAGGTAAATCACAAACTTTTTCAATTCACTTAAATATGCTCAAGCAGACTGGTGTGATTCTATGCACATCAGATGGATCTGCATGAAAATATTTGGGCGAACCAAACCTTTGTGATTTGGTGATTCTCCTGTGCTAATATATTTAAGTGAATGAAAAATGATTTGGGATTTGATCTACAAGCAAATCCATTAGCTCACCACCACTTTATATACGTACTATTCTCACCGCTTTTCCACTTTCCAAATTAATTCCAGGGTGGTGACTTCACCAACCACAATGGTACCGGAGGTAAATCAATATACGGTGGTAAGTTTGAAGATGAAAACTTCGCTCTGAAGCACAGTATCCCTGGTGTCCTCTCTATGGCCAATGCGGGGCCAAACAGCAACGCCTCTCAGTTCTTTATCTCAACTATCAAGGCGGATTGGTAAGATAACGGATAGCATTGAGAGATGATGAGAGATGGTGATGAGATAAGAGGAGCGATTTTCAATGAAGGAATGAGGTGTTAACGTATATCTTTAGCCAAAACGTTTTTAGTTCTTGATAGAATGGTAAAAGGTTTCAACCTCTTGGCCAGCACAGACAGTAAATGGACACTTCCAGAAGAGGAAAGGACTACGATGTGTAAGGAGGGAGGGGCTGTGCTAGCGAACTGACTCCTCTGGGAGTAGTAAAATTTTCTGAGTCAAAAGATACTTCAAAGAAGTTCAAAGACACATTGCAGGTCAAAAAAAATAATTTAATCGAAAGGAAAAAAACTGCAATTAGGCATTTTTTCATGGGATTTTTGGGAACTGCAGTCTTTGAAGTTGGTGTCAGAGTCTCCTCAAGCACAGGGAGTGAGGGGATAAAGCACAGGGATTGAGGGGATGGCTCCCCAACAGGACAGAAGCAGTAGTAAAAACCCAGGGGTTTTCACCACCAGTTTTCACCATTCCATTTTGCACCAGTTTTCACCATAACATTTTCTACCCAAACAGAATTTTTACAGGTTTTGGCTAGATATGTACGTTAAATAGACTTCCACTTTTAAAACATTATCCCAGAAGTGGGCTTTAAGAATACAGAGACGAGGCAAGGTTTTATGTACAAGACATAATAACATGATCTAACCATGCATTTTGTATCTCTGAGATGTGCTCTTTAGAAAAGCATGGATGATAAGGTTCTTTATTTGGGCCTTATTTATCCAAGTATCAGTTCTTAGGCATTGGCCCCTTGATGTTATGTGATTATTACTTCTAAAATATAAAACCAGAAAGTTTTGCTAGAGGCAATGAGCAATATGGTTAATGTGCAGACATAGAAGAGATGGATACACACTGTTTGAGGGATATACAGTATGTCTCCTTCCAACCCCAGAAAGCCAACTCACCCCCTACCCCATCCTCACCACCACACATATATGTCCACCAGATGAGTTTACCCACAAATGTTCATGAGAAAGCAAATAAGAAAAAAAAAAAAGTAACTACATATTTGGAATGTTCTTCTTTGGTGCTCTTCATGAGTAAATTCAGGAAATACAGCCCTGAAACCTCTGAAGCCGAGCTTCAGGGCTGCATTTCATGAAAGACTGCTCCACAGTAAACTATTTGGGGTGTAATTGCTAGTGGCTTCGCATACACAGCACTAGTAACTGATTGTCTTCCTTTTTTCTAAATTCTTCTGAGATAATTCGTTTGGCCTGTAACATGGATATCACAGATCTCCATGAGTGCTACTTTATGGGATGTCTTTGCAAGGCTAGCGCTACCATAAGACTTCCTGAGGGTGCTGGAGGGGTGCAAAAATGCACCTTTGCCTGTGTAGGCAAAAATCCTTGCACCGGCCCTGCCGCCCAGCAGTGTATTTAACACCACTCCAGGCCATGTGAAGCTCATACAGAATGTTTAATGTGTTCTTCTTAATAATCTTCAAAGCGGAACTTCTTCAGTTTTTTTATTTAAAATTCTAAAGGTGTGCTTTATTAACAATTTAAAAAAGCAGCGTTTGCTTCAATCCAGAGCAGTCACCTTAAGTAATAGCTTTCTGCCACTAGATGCCATCATTCTCCTGGGTTGACAAACTAGAGTTCTGCTTTAAATTAATGCCACCAACACATTCAACCTACAGTATTCTCATATATTTTGTTCTTCTCTGTTGCTATTATGTACTCAAAGGCTGAATGGGAAACACGTGGTCTTTGGTCATGTAGTGGAAGGGATGGAAGTGGTAAAGAAGATGGAAAGCTATGGCTCCAACAGCGGGAAGACCAGCAAGAAGATTGTGATTACTGACTGTGGAGTCCTAGAGGACACACCTTCTGCTTGACCACCACACACAGCCGAAGCACTACACAATATGACCTTTACATATAACATCAATATAATCAACACAGAAAAGCTGGATTCAGTGACGACATGCATGTAATCTTTATTTATTGACACGGTGTGTGACCAGATTTCAGCGGCTTGCCTGTGCCTTCTATAATGAAATAGTCCATTATGCCCTATAGTTGAAGTCGGTGGATTCCGACTAATGGCTTGTGTATCGGTCACAACTACATTTCATGTTTTCCTACCTTCTGCTGACGTACACTTTGCAAGTCAACTGTTTACTTCTAGGAAAGCAAGCTCAGGATTCTTATGTCAATTTAATGTTTGTATCATGTTTATGAATAAAAATAATATATGAAGGAAATGCAATTTTATTCCTTATTAATAAAAAAGCAGAGCGGTCTCACCTATGGCAAGGTCAGATTCCTGTCTTCATTTTGCAATCATTTACCATGAGGGCTTGAAAGTTCTTTGATTGCTGAAGTAAGGGCTAGTTCACACACAAGTGCACACACAAGCACTTACTTCACAAGCTGAGGGCTATGGGCATAGATGAGGTGGTGTGTACGTGGATAGAGAACTGGCTACGGGAACGTAAGCCCCAGTGTATTCGGTGACGGAACGCACTGGATCGCATCCCTGCTGGCTCACTGGGATGGGAGGGAATGTGGCAGGGCATTGAAGTCAATGGCATCGCAGCCCTGGCCTCTGGCGGCAGTGCGATCGCCTGCACCAGAACATGTGGTACATCAGTGTCTGCATATTGCGTGCATTCTTTCTGACTGAACCAAAGCGGAACACAGGCATTGATGTGCCACACGTTCCAGTGCGGGCAAATGCACTGCGGCCGGGGGCGTTGCTGCAGTGCCTTTCACTTCGATTCACCGCTATATCCCCTCCTGCCCCAGCTTGCAGTGAGCAGCCCGGGATTCGATCCTGTGCGTTCTGGCACTGAATCGGACTGGAACACACTGGGGCTGGTGTGAACTAGCCCTAAGCCCACTAGCAACCTTGACATGCCTTAAAAGTAGCTGTTTTGGGAGACATTAAATTGGTGGGTCAAGTTCCTCTTAAGGAACATACATCAGCAAAGCACAGGTTCACTTTAAGGCTTGCTCTAGTCCAATATGCTGCCATGCTGTTTGGTTGTTACCATGGCAATGCTAATGTCGCTGCGAGCGAATCAGATGCAACAGGCAATATGTCATTCAGCACCTTAGAACATCACTACGAATGAGAGAAAAATTGAATTCTTCTGGATTATACTACTAATTGTTACCAAAATTGAGCATCACCACAGCAACACGAAGACAATGGCAGCATGGTGTTTATTTTGCTTGGTTAGTGAATCTTTAATTAATATATACCAAACTGTGCAAGTATTGTGTGACAGAAGCCAGGCTCATGTAGGCTGACATCCAGGGCCGTCCCTTTCAAGAGGCTGTTGCCTCAGGCGGCATTTCTTTGGGTCACGTGGGGGGGGGGGGACACCCAACCTTGCAAGAGTGCGGCATATACTCACCTGACCCTCGGTTCTGCGGCAGTGATTGCTCGCCTCTCTACCCCTCTGCTAAGGCGGTGGAATGTCTCTCAGCGTCCTCATATTGAATGTAGCTAATGTATATAAACATTCAGGTGTCCAGGCCCGGAGATACTAGAACGTAAAGAGGAGACCCGTAAGCAATTAAGAAAGCCGGCATTATTGGTGATTCCCGGTACGTTCCCAGCTATGTTGACCAGGCGACACTTTGTTGACAGTCACAGGTACACGGCTGCCTTTTTCTGTCATTCTATTTATTTCTTGCATTCCCTGGTGCGTATTCCTAGGGGTACATGTACATTAGCCCAGGTTGGGAACTACTAGAGTAGGAGATAGAAGGACTAATCCTGGTAGGGAGTTCAAGAGGATGGGAGAGACTCCGGAGAAGTCCTAGAGGAGAGCATGGGAGGAGGTGATGATGGAGCTACGAAACAGATCTTGGGTCCTTGGAGGTGCGGAGAGGACGGGTTGGGTGGTATTTTGAGATGAGGTTGGTTATGTAGCTCGGGGCCGAGTTGTGGACGGCATTGCATGTTGTTTGTATTTTGAATTTGATTTGTTGGGTGAGTGGAAGCCAGTGGAGGGATTGGCAGAGAATGGTGGCAGACACTGAATGGTTGGTTAGGTGAATGAGTCTAGCAGCAGCATTAATAATAGGCTGAAGGAGCGGATAGCCTGTGTAGTCAGTGTATGTGCTCACAAAGGTTGTGTCCACTGAAATGCTCACCTTCATTGTCTGCCTCCTCAATAGTTTTTGTGCTTTGTTACCCATATAGTTTTCTCAAAAGCAACCAATAATCATCCAACTGTAATGTTTGCAGTCCTAGATCAAAAATGAACCAAGCATTCCGGAAGCTGTGGATAATCAAACAAGTTTTCTGTTTCATAGGTTTGATATAACCGCCCCATCTACTACTGAAGTCACTCTATTCCAATTATTTGCCATACCAAAAGATGACTCTTTGATCTTGTAGCGATCTGCGGAGAACTCTAGAGGGAGCTCTCCACACACAGACCAATATCACTTAACCTTAGAGCACTGTCACCAGCTGGTTCATTTCATTGCTTCTGCGCTCGATGGAAAAGCCATCTCCTCAAAATTGCAACAGATAGAAAGAGTTTTTGTGGAAAAAGTATTGTTAACAAACACAGTAAAAGCACTTATCATTATGCATCGCTTATGTAAAATTACTTACCTACATTAAAGTGTGTGCATGGCCATTTTTTAAGCTTCGGATAGAGTAGAGACGAGATAAAATCCCCATCAGGTTATTTTCTGCTGTTCATGATCTGCTGAGGAGGGTTCCCTTCACTTCCTATCCTGAAGGCACAACAGAAAATGAGAGAACATTTCCCCAAAGTGAGTCAATTCCCATCATAGATAATGAGCATTGTTACACCTGTCCCCGTTGCTCTGGGAACATCTCTAACATTTTCGATTTACTTTTACTTGTTATCACAGTAACAGAAGTCACCAGAGCAAACAAAGGGGGCAAATCTACCCAGCAGAGACACAGAAAGCTATGCTTAAAAGAGAGTCTAAACCTTCCCTAAATTATTCAAAGCTAAGATAAATGTATATGTACAATTTTGCCTTTACATATACTTTACACAGCTTAATCAAGTTTTGACTCTCTGAGGTCCTGAGATCTGATGCCAGATCTCCGGACCCTTGCCAAAAACATATCTACGTGTACTGCCTTCTTAGGCAGTAAAGGTTATATCCCCATACCTGAATAGAGGTTTAATCTTATTGCATAGGGTGAGTTACTATATATTCCAACCTCCATTATGGCCTATATACAGTAAGTGTGTATTCCAACTTCCATTGAAGTCTGCAATATGAACATGGAGGGTTAAGCATACAATACGAAGGCAAAGGAGGATATTGGAGGATCATTGGAAACAGAAGGATGGGGGAAACAGCATGCTGACTGGAGGAGATGTGACAGCCCTGTCTGGCACCCTTGGACGCAGCTGCCCCCAGACTAGACTCTCAGTAACTCAGAGCTACGAGTAAGAACCCCTGTGGTATGAAAAGCATGAACCTGGATTTATTCTGATTTAAACCTTCCAGATTGCCTTCTAGATCAGCTTGTTGCTAATGGTTTCTTACATTCTTGGTAACCCTTTAAAGCTAGGAATACCCCTAATATATTCCAAAACATATCATAAACACCAGTGCAGGTGGTACCGTACACACCAGCAGGTCAAGGCTATGTATGGAAGTCCAGAGAATTGGGCACCTTGGGAGAGACTATGGTGTCCCAATTCATAGTTGTTAGCCAGTAGGCAGTGCGGAAAGCTAACAAAACAAAAGCAGGAAAGGCTAGCATTGCAATCTACGGACTACTGTGTCTATTTTCATAAAAGTAACAGCATTCTGACTTGTTGTCAGATCACAAATGAAATATCTGATAGTGTGCATGAAATTAAGAGGACGGTCAGCTAGCAGGGGCAATCGTGATGAAGCAGCAAGGGAATACGGTTGAGCGACAATTGGTAGCTTTTGTTAGAGTACGTCAAGGATCTGCATCTGTTCATCCTGGGGCCTGGTCCGTCCTGTCCTTGTCTGATGTAAATTGTATTGTGGGTTTTTGGCTATGGCTGGTTGCATATGTAACCATGGGTGTGCGCATGCTGGCGTGCTTAGGTGTGTGTTGGCGTGTGTGCAATAATGCATATTGGTGTATCCCTGATGCTGGGAATGCACACAGGCCATGAACAGTATGTAAATGCCTTCTCTTATGGTGGTCGGTGCTATGTCTTCTTGCCAGATACCTAGTGTGTGAGATTACTGTTGCTTCTACCTTGCCTGCTGCTGATCCAGCTTGGCTGATCCTGCGTCTACTGCCCCCATTTCTGTCTCTACCTGTTCCTCCTCTCCTCTTGCCTGCCACCTGCCTTGACCTCAGCCTGGACTCTGACTACTCTTTTGCTTGCTGCAACCTCTGCCTGGACACGACTACTCTCTGGCCTGCCTCGACCTTTTCTTGGACTCTGACCTTCCGCTCTACAGTACCTTGTCTCCACAGCGTAGACACCTTGTTCCCGAGCCCCTTGGTTGTCTGATCCCAAGGACCACAAAGTAGTCCAGTGACCACTAGAGTCACTGGCTCATGACTCCTTGGAGGCTGCTATAGTGAAGACCAAGTTGTTACTTTAACTCCGCGCCTTGGATGTGCCCACATCACCTACCAAGGGTGTCAATCATAACAAGCAGTAGGCAGTATAGCTAAAAGGTTCTAGACTTTGTAGTTCAGTACATATAAAGTTTATATGATTATTTTGAATTAGGAACAATGGTAAGATATGTTACAGTATGATAAGGTAATAACTGTATGTAATGCACATGTTATTTCAGCCCTGCAACGGTCATGTATGTGGAACACTCCTTCCTACTGCATTTGCTCTCCTAGTATGCAATGTTCCCCGGGGGCAAATTCAGATCCAGACCTCCCTACTTTTAAATATGCAAAAGAGGGAGACCTTTAAGTACAAAATATTAGGTCACCCCAAATTTTGCAGACCATGTAGAACTACAGAATAAATA